CGGAATTGTTTTTCTTGTCACAAATTTTTCTCGAAATCTTTAATTATGTGTTGGAGTTTCTTTGTTATTTGAATAAAACTGCTAATCTCTTTTTTTAACCCCTGTCCTCTGTTTCTCTGCTGGTTTTCCAGGAAAAGGATCTAACAGGAGCAGACTCCTTTGAGTCCATGGAGGAGTTTCAGGCTGTCCTCAGCCAGCTGGTCGGGGACAAAAGCCTGGACAAGATCCGGGTCGAGTACGAGAAGCTCATCCAGGCCCTGAAGAAGTCACGGGAAAATGAGCAAAGGCTGATGTCGAAATGCAGGGAGCTGAATGCAGAGATTTTGTCAACGTCGACCAAAGTGTCAGCTGCTTTAAAACTGTCTCAAGAAGACGAGGCAACAATAGCGTCACTGAAAAGGGTAAATAAGCATAAAAACAGGTGTTCTGGTTCAGTTTATGCACCCTTCACTTATATATTTGTGTGTCCGTGGCTCTGAGTCAGCTTATTTTCCAAATCCAGGAGTTATTTTACTTCTTGAAAGTCTTAATGAGAAGTTGATTTTTTTATTTTAATTAAAGTTTTTTAAATTTATTTTGCTTTTATAACACAGTTACAAACGGATGAAAACAAAAACACAAACACCGGCAGCAACACAGAACATGAAAGAACTTATCATTTATCTATTCATAGATATATCAATGCGCATATTCATACTCGTAGTATACACCACACCCCAAATCCCTTAAGAATTTTTACCAACATTGTTGTCAAAATGTATCAATATATCCATGCTTTCTGCACCCTAGAAATCGTGACCTCATAAGCAGCTGTCTCTGACATAAGTTGAAGCCATTGCTTGATTTAAAGTCTATGTAGGCTCTTCAATGAGAAGTTTTTTGTCAGATAAAATGACATCTCTTACATTTCAGGAGCTGGACAAAGCTTGGAAAATGGTCGATGCCGCCCATGAGGTAGAGAAGAAGGACAAAGAGAGTATCAGGAATTTAAAAGGAGAAGTTTCCAACCTTACAAAAATAACCGAACAACAAGCTGGCCTTTCCACAGAGAAGGCACGGAGGTGAGGGCGCTATCCTCCAAACACCTCCACCTCCTTTCAGTGGACCTTCTATCATTTTCTCCCCCTCTCTTTTCTCTCAGTGATCTCCTAAGAATGACCGAAGAGTTGACGGATCAGAAGAATCAGCTGGAGAGAACAGTAGAGGGACTAAGAGAGAAACTAAACAAGTCCATCACAACACAGCAGGAGATAGAGGCCCAACGGGAGAGTTCCCTCCAGAGTGTTTCTCAGGTAAGTCCTTACAGAAAACAGACACTTTAGAGGGTTGATGTAGACTCATAGGGGACTTAGACTTTTCTTTTTTTTTTCAAATCATTTTTATTGAAACAAATGATAAGATAATACCAATAAGGAATACAGTTCACTTTTTTTTTCTTTTTTTTGGGATAAACATATACTTGTGCAGGTATAACTTCTAATATATACATACAAGAATAAATGTTGAAGTAGTCACACCTACTACATATACAAAAAACAAAAACAAAACAAAATAGGAACAATAAAAGAAGAGAACAACACACCCCATTCCAACCCTGTCTCAGGCCAACATATTCAGCAGAAAATTAAGATAAATGATAATAATAATAATAAAAATCTATTAAAAAAAAAACATCAGTAAAGTACAGCAACAGGCACACATATTTAGTTGGGTAGGAGCTCCAAATCTGAAAAATAAGAAAGAAAACACTGCCATCCTCTCATTGTATATTTGATTTTTTCAAGTTCAAGAAAAAACACCATGTCCTTAAGCCACTGGGCGATGGAGGGATATCTGGCAGACTTCCAGTGTAATAATATTGAACGTCTTGCAATTAAGGATGTAAAGGCTATAATATATTTTTGCTTTGAATTTAATACTACTAAGGAATCAGAAATCCCAAGGGACTTAGACTTTTCTAAACTTGTGGACCAAACTCTCTATAGTGCAAAAACCCGGTAGGGGTTTAGGTGGGATTTGAACTGAGTGGGCCTACCAGGGGAAACAAAAAAAAAAGAAAAACTACAGGAGCTCCTACAGCTACACCCAGTTTAAATGGAGTTATTACATGAAGCTGCTTCTTCTCTGCATGTGTGCATGAACCCAGCTCCAGCAGGAGCTCCAGGTACAGCAGAACGAGATTTCCAGAGAAATGAGACTGAAGGAAAAGCTGGACAAGGAGGTCAAGCAGCTGCACGTCGACATGGACGCCAAGATGGCTGACATCAAAGCCCTGAATGTTCAGGGCCAGAAGGCCAAAGAGGAGCAGCAGAGACTGGAGCAGCAGCTCAAAGAGCTGAAGGTAAGCAGGGGGCTGCAAAGTATTGTTATTATTGTAAAAAATAATAATAACTAAAAAAATAAAAACTGATATCTTTGATCTGAACTCTGATATAACTTTTAATCATCAACAAAAACTTTCCTAAACATTCTGCTGTTTTACAGGAAATTTTCATAGTTAGCATAAAAGTCAACTTAGCAGTCATGTGACTTAAGCTTTCCTGAAAGGGAGTGTTAAAGATAACATTTTGTAATCTATCCGAACAGTTTGCAGACTTTCAAAGACTCCATTTTTAGCTGCACAGCTGAAATCCTTCTGTCAGGCTCTAATTAAGGGTTGGGGGTCAGGTTGCTGAGCCGGCCAAGAGCTGTGCTTTCTGCTTAAGGTTTTAGCTAAATGTCAAATTATACTTTGTCAAAGAAGCTCCTGTAGTATGAATAATTATTTAATTAACAATTGAAGCATTTGTAAGTAGACAAAAAGTAGACACAGATAATATCATGCATATTACATACCAATATATTAGGCAATGTTTTCTCTCCACACTGACATTTAAAAAGAAATCCAATGTTATCGTTATTTCTGTAATATTAAACTCCTTTTGTTCAGTCTTATGCTGGGAACATGTGATCTTTTAACCCAAATTGTATGTCAGTTAAATCTGCTTACTCAAAGGACGTTCTGTAAAACCTGCTATGTCTATTATATGCGCATTAATACTTGTAAATTCAGATTGATATGTTAGTTTAGGTTGCATGCCTCCTCTTCCTCCTTTCAGATCCTGCACGAGCGCTCCACCAAGGATCTGGAGCAGATGCAGTTGAAGAACACCAAACTACAGCAGGACAACGAGCAGCTCTCATCAACCAAAGACCGCCTGTCTCTGGAAAACCAGCAGATAACAAATGAGCTGAAGGTATGCTCCCATCCAAGAAGAAACCCCCAGCTTATTCATTCAGGTTAACGTTGACAAAGAATAAAGAATAAACAAAGCATGTGTGTAACCACTTGGGGGCGCTGTTTACTATAAAACATAGAAAAAGAGCAGAGACACACTAAATCCTGCCGTCCTGACTCTAACAAAGCCCCTTTTCCTCCCTCTCTTTTTGGTAATCCATGGTACACCACTTCCCTTCCCACTGGTTAGATGAGAGAAGATGAGGTGGGTCACATGCGCCAGGAGGTTGCCAAACAAACAAAGATGAGGGAAGCCATCCAGAAGAGGTTCCACCAGTTGGAGGAGCAGAAATCTGATGTAGAAGTTCAAAGGGAGACCCTCAAAGCTCAAATCACTGGTCTGGAGAAAGGTTGGGAAGCTTGTCTATCTGTGGTTTATTCAGTCTTTGAGTCTAAAGCAAACCCCCGTGCTCCCACTTTTAATGTGCTAAATATTTCAACGTATCAATACACAAAAAGGAAACAGATTAGGCAAATATTATATAGATATCACTGGATGTTAGCCTCAAGCTAGTTCAGTTTACAAGCTGTTTGCATGAAAACTCACCGATGACCACCTCATCTCATCAGTGCATCTCTGCTGGATGTTTATGTTGAGTTTATTAATTTAGCAGAATAACTCAGGCTCATTACTCTAATGAGCTAAAAATAATGAGACAAAGAGCCATTGAAAGGGTAATTGATTAGACATTCCAAATTCCCCATTGGAGTGAATGTGAGTGTGCATGGTTTTTGGTCCTTGTGTGTCTCTGTGTATCCCTGCGATGGACTGGGGACCGTCCAGGGTGACGGTCCCCGGGGATAAGAGGTTCAGAAGATGGATGGATGGATGGAAAGACTCAGGGGAAAATGGATATAGTTCTTATGATGTTTGAGAGCACTCTGAGTCCTCAGAGGATCTAAAGTTACTCCAAATGGACTGATTTTGTGTAGAGCCAAGCTAAATCACAGGAAATGACATCAGAAAATTACAGTTACTGGAGAAACTCAGCCTCTCACTGCACCGACGTCTACATCTGTGTAATTCGTCCGCCCTAAATCTAGACGGCTCCAGATGATTATTCCTAACTGGTAAATGGTAAAGATGTCCATTTTTCTCCCTCCGCAGAGCTGGAATCTTCCCAAAAGCAAGTGGATGTTGACAAAAAAGCCAAAGACGAGCTGATTCGAGAGCGGGATAACTTAAATAAGGTAGCTAATAAGCTAATGAAGTGCTAATTACTGACATGTCATAAAGGCTGGATGGAGAGCAGGTTCCTATCCAAATGATCCAGAGTGAACACGTCTCATTTGTGCTGGTTTCCTGCTACGATAGAACATGATAAAAGCTGTGCAATCCACCGAGAAACAGCAGGACTTCGTGAAGCTCCTGGAGCAGGACAAGAAGGCCTTAGAGCACGAGATCAGTGGCTACCGGCAGGAGGCCCAAAAGCAGCGTAAGATCATCCAGCAGCTGGAAAAGGAGCGGGACCGCTACATCAACGAGACCAGCAGCCTCATGCAGAAGGCACAGTACAGTTCATCCTATTATTTATTATTATCTATTACTTTATTACTACTTCAGTCTAAGCCGGGGACACTTTCCTTCCTCCTACAGGTGCAGCAAAAAATGAACGACGTGGAAGTCAGAGAAATGGAAATATTTGACTGGAAGAAGAAAGTGACCGAGGCGGAGTGTAAGGTCAAACAGCAGGAGAACCTGTTAGAGTCTGTGGTGTCTGAGAGAAACCTCTACAGTAAAAACCTCATCGAGACTCAGGTAAGAACGATGGTTTGTGTCGTCCAGTTTGAAAAAAACCTTCAAACGACACATGTTTCACCCTAAACGTGGAGTTTTCCTGCAGTTGCTTCCCAATTTTGGTCTTTCAGCAGCTGTTTGGAGCAATCCAGAGTCAGGAAAGCTGTCAATGTGATGCCCAGATTGTGTTTTATATTCTATATTTTAGTTTTACCATGAAGTAAAAGTCTGAAAACAATCAGTTCAATATCTTTTTTGATTTTCCTGATTGAATAAATTCCATTTAATGCTAATACAGTCTCATTGTGAGCAGATGAAGACAGACTTTGCCTTTTCTCTGGACTGTGGTGTTCCTCTTCCTTCGACTCACCTTCGGTCCCTCTGCCTCAGGAGGAAATTGTGGAGATGAAGCGAAAGATGAAGACCATGAACAACCAGGTGACCCGGCTGAGGGAGGAGATCAGTGGGAAGGAGCAGGCCCTGGCTAAAGATCAGCAGGACTACAAGCGCCTGGAGAAGGAAAAAGAAGCCTTAAAGGTGCTGTTGAACGCTCCCGATGAGGTCAAAATAAGAGCGGACACCACCAACAAACAGCTGGAAAACAGCTCTGGTTCACGTGGCTGAAATCCAGCTGTAAAAAATCAAAAGGGCTTTATCAAAGTAGTTGGTAGTGATTTCATCTTAGAAGGAAACACAATTGGCTGTGCCTCATTTCCTAAACGAAATACGTGGAGAGCAGCTGTACCTCAGATTTACAGCTTTACAACTACTGGCTGCTTTCCCGGCATTATTCATCACAGCAGAGTCCCCCAGTTATGGCTACTTGAAGTTGTTTTACAGTTTTAACGTCCACTCATAGTAAAGTGAGGGAGACAGGCTTCAACTCTGAATGTTTAAATCAAGGCTGAAAACGCTTCCGTTTAACTGTGCATGTGGAAATTTAACGTATTTTATCTGCACCCTTCACTTTTCATCTGTCTAATTTTTATTATGTTTCTTGTTTTTCTGCTTTTAACCCTTTAAAGCCTGATCCAAGAATAAAACAAAACAGAAAATTACTTTTTTTTGTTTTAAGTCTTTATTTGGCCTTTTAACAAAATGTGTAAAAAGAAATAACAAAAATACAATTTTATTGTTAATAATTTATTACTATGCGATAAGTCAAGATTATTTTTTGTGTAGTCTTATGCCCCCTGTTATCGGGTGTATCTGATTGTGTACAATAGGATTTTGAGCAAAGTTTTTACCATTTAATTATGCAAAAGGTGTCAGGCGCAAAACATTTCAGAAACCGTATGTATCAAATATGATACGTTTGGCAGGGTTAAATTCTCTGGGAAGCACTTTGAATTGTCTTGTACACGAAATGTGCTATCCAAATAAACTCGCCTTGCCTCGCCTAAAAGTGAAAAAAGGTCTGATCATCTCTTTTTCCGCCGACAGGGAGATCTCCAGTCCATGAAGCTGCAGCTGGAGGAAACAAAGCAGCGCGTGGAAAGTCAAAAAGCGGAGCAGCTGAAGCTGCAGAAGATCATAGCCGACACGGAGGGGGAGCAGATCCAGCAGAGGAAGCAGCTGGATCAGGTACCAGGGGGGGAACCGGAGAGCAAATCTATGGCAGTGTTTCCCAATCTTGGGCCTCAAGGCACCCTGCCCTACATTTTTTCCAAGTTTCTCTGCTCCAGCACACCTGATTCTAATAAATGGAACGACTTTTCAGCTATGTAGAAAGCTGCTAAAGTCCCATTCATTAGAATCCGGAGTGAAGGCAGAATAGGTTTTATCCCTATCTTGAACATCCTCCCTACACTCTACTTTAGGAATGTGTTTTCCCGGGTGTTTATGCTCAATGGCCAGAAGAGTCTGTGCTTAATTGGGAGCTTCAGACACTACAATAGCTTATTGTCATAGTGATGATAAATGTAATATAGTGTCTACTCTGTAAGTCAATTCAATTCAATTCAATTCAATTTTATTTATATAGCGCCACATCACAACAACAGTTGTCTCACAGCGCTTTCCAAACAGAGCAGGTCAGACCCTACTCTGAAGTTAATTACAGAAACCCATCAATTCCCACCATGAGCAAGCACTAGGCGACACAGGCAAGGAAAAACTTCCTTTTAACAGGCAGAAACCTTGAGCAGAACCATGGCTCAGGGTGGGCGGCCATCTGCCTCGGACGGTTGGGGGTGAGAGAGAGAGAGGGCAAGAGAGAGGCAGCCAACACAGCAACACGTAGACTAGATGAAAAATGGCAATGATATTAATACTAATGATAATGGTAGAAGTTATGACGGCAACAGAGCAGGAACACGGGGGCAGCAGGAAACTCCCAACCACAGATCCAGACTCCACAGCTCCAGGAACACCTGCAGGAAGTGATAGGAGGAGACTATCTTGAACATCCAAACGACAACATAAACAAATGAGCCGAGGTTGGAGCAAAGACCGGCATCTGACCACCTGCTCCTGTTTTAGGTGAAAAGAGAGAGGGACAGTCTGGGCAAGCAGCTTCTACATCGCAACGACGAGCGGGCGCTGCTGTACGAGAAGATCCGGATCCACCAGTCCATCCTCAGCAAGGGGGACTTCCACTACAACCAGAGGTTGGAGGACATCCACCTGCTCAAGCTGGAGATCAAGAAGCTCCGGCGCAGGAAGAGCATCCTGGACAAGACTCTGCCCAACACGGAGGAGCTGAGGTAAAGAAAAGCTCCTTTAGGAAGGCGGAGACAGACGGCAGGATGCAAGCAGGGAGGACACAGGAAAGTTGGACGACCAGAGAAAGCTGTAGGGAGAGTAGGAGAGGAAGATTTCAAAGAGAAAGGCAGCGAGATGAGGACAGATTTAAAGTCGAAGGTAAGAGTAACCTCCAAAGGAAGCAGCAAAAAACACTTAGATGTTATTTTTTTGCTTAACTCATTGACTGCCAGCCATTTTCAGAACAGAGAGTCCCATACTGCCAGAGTTTTTTGAGCATTTTGACTGATTTTTCAAGAGCCACAGAATAGTTTGTGCTATGACTATGTAAACACCGAACACACCAAAAGAAAGAGTACACTCTCTTCTATCATCAGGAAAAAAATGTTGTTTCTACCTTATTCCGTTCTTCCTCAACTTGCGTCTCACCGGCGACATGTTCTCTCATAGTGAACCGTTACCTTTTTCTTATTTGCCTACAGTCTATGCTCATCTCCCATCAAAAGTGG